TGAAGCCTGTTAAGGGAATAACAGGTGCTTCTGTGTGGCCAGGGCATTTGACTGGAGGCAAGTAGAGGGAAGTAAGAGGTTTGTAAGTGTGAAATTGTGAGGAGCCTTATATGGTTTGATAAGGACTATGGAATTCATCCTCTAGGCACTTAGGAGCCACTGACATTTTTTGAGCAGGGGATTATCTGTACTGGTCCAGTTTTTAGTTTAGGAAGGTAGCTCTTTTAAGTAAAGTAGTTTGGTAAAATATGTGAAAGCCTGAATGAAGGCAGTGGCAATCAGGAGGAAGATGAGGGAATCTACTCATGAGATATTTCAGATGTAGAACTGGTGGGATTTGGTTACCAGTGGAGAGCGGTGGGTAGCAAGAGGCCGGGAGGTATTTAGGATGACTCAGATTTCTCAGAGAATAGATGGATACTCATGCCATTAACTGCCATAGGGAATGAAGGGGAAAGGCAGGCTGTGGTGGCAGATAAAATAATGAGTTTGCTTTTGGACATGTTGAATTTGAGATTCCTGTCAGGATGTTTTGTTTGTTTGTTGTGGTGGTACGCGGGCCTCTCACTGTTGTGGCCTCTCCCGTTGCGGAGCACAGGCTCCGGACGCGCAGGCTCAGTGGCCATGGCTCACGGGCCCAGCCGCTCCGCGGCATGTGGGATCTTCCCGGACCGGGGCACGAACCCGTGTCCCCTGCGTCGGCAGGCGGACTCTCGACCACTGCGCCACCAGGGAAGTCCTCCTGTCAGGATGTTTAGGTATAGATAATTTCAGAGGTCAGGAGAGGGTTGGAGACTAGAGGTCAGGATTAGGATTAGGTGTTAAAACAAACGCCATCTTATAAGAAGCAGAAGGGGAAGGAAGCCAGCAAAAGAGACCAAGGAGGAAGAAATTGGAGAGCCAAGAGTGGTGCCATGGATACAAGAGAAAAGCGAGGGTATAGCCCACAGAAGTTACAGAGAAGTCATGAGAATGAGATTTGCAACGTCTCTGCTGGCTTGTCCATCAGGAGATGACAGCATCCTTATATAAATGGGCTGGAAGACAGATTGCAGAGAGGCGTTGGGCAAATGGGAGGGGAGAATCTAGGGGGAGATGGTATAGAATCACCATTAAATTGTGCAGGAGGCTGTGGGCTGATATAGGGAAGCTTGTGTATTGTAGAGCTGGTAATTCTCATCATCCAGCAGTAGTAGACATTGGAAAGGCTCTAAATTAATGTTTTGCCGAGTGAACGTTTAGAATGTCCCTATCTTCTCTGTGTCCTGGTCCTCTATCAGTGGACCTTGTCTACTGTCTCTCTTTCAATTTATCATCTTGATCATCTTTCCTATTTTCCCTCTTTTCTGACTTGTGGACTGTGCATAGCTCCTATATCTGTTCTAGTTGAATAGACCCTGTGCTTACTTTCATGCTAGATATAACCATATTCCCCTGCACTGCCATTTATGGGCTCATTAGAGAGGAAAAGCTGTCTGCAAGTCACTCAGACTGATACCCTCTGATAAGACCCACTTTCGTTTGAAAGGTGACTTCTAGTGGAGATAACTATCTTTTCAAAACACTTAATGTTTGTAGATATTTATAATCATTTTAAAATGTTATGATAACTGGAGGAGAGAGGCAAATATTGCTGCAGCGTGTCCTGAAAGGGGACTGAAAACTTCAGAAAACCCTCTGATGAAAAGGAACAGTTAGTTATAAATATGTCTCCAAGAGAAAATAAAAATCTTGTCTGGAGTATTGCTTAGGAAGCTATTTGTTCTTATTTTGAGCAAAAAACATTCTACTTTTAGGGAAAATTGTATTGATTAATATCTATTAATAGGGTACAACTAAAGGCTTCACATGGACAGTTCTATTTTTGAGTATTAAGTGAGAATCAGATAATTATTTGTGAGTGTGTATATGTCCTTGTTGTAATTTCCACTTCTTTCCCCTCACCCCAACTGTCTTTTTCTCCTCTAGGTGATATCCCAGTTGTTCCACTTAATTTTGTCATGATATCCCTAGAGGGTCCATTTAACAGAGATACGGTGGAAAGATGTGTGAAGGAGACGTCGCTTTTTTTATCACGATCCATTTCCACCAAACAAAACGTGGAGTTTACATTCAAAGGAATTGGGGTCCTCGTGATCAAAAGTGGTAACGTGAAGATGAGATTTTATAAGGACTTCCTTTTTACAGTGGATGGAAGTGGGTCTTTGACGAAAGCCCTAGCAAATGTAAATTAATATTTTCCTTCTCCTAACCCCTTCCTGATGGTAGCTCTGAATCATCTGTAAATGCGTCATCTTTAAGAAAAGCTAAGGTTGACATATTTGAAATGGCAGTTACCCCAAGTCAAAGCAGTACTTGTTTATAGATGATTAACTCTCTGACAAAAAAAGTTAGAGGGGCTAAGGAACTTTAAGTTTGAAGTCAATGCCACCTGAAAAATATAGTGATAGAAACTCTCATAATTCTGAACATTGTATAATACCTTATGGTTTAAAAAATTCTTCCACATATATTATTTCATTTGGGTCTAAAAACATTATAAAACCAGAATTATTATCCTGATTTTACCAATGAGAAAAATGGGGACTCAGAGAGGTTATGTGGGAAACTGAAGTCTGGGTGCCCTGCCGTAGAACTGAAATTCAAGCCCAGACTTCCTAATTACTCTTTTTGTGCTGATTACACTATTTTATTTCAGTGAAAGTCTACAGAAAAATCACATTCAAGTCATGGAAATGTATCTTTATCTTTTAATTTGCATTGTTGTAGAAGAAATTTCATAATTGACCCATCACTGTTAACCATTAAGTAGCTGGTGTGACCTTCATGCTAAGTTGGACATAGCCGACTTTAAGAAGGCAGTTAAACAGTCAATCAACAGGACTAACTGAATCTTAATGTACTAAGTTTGTATGAGCAAACTGGATTATCATGAATGTTATATAATCCAGTGTCCCGTAGAGCAAAAGCCAGACTTTTATTTTTTATTTATTTATTTTTTCGGTACGCGGGCCTCTCACTGTTGTGGCCTCTCCCGTTGCAGAGCACAGGCTCCGGACACACAGGCTCAGCGGCCGTGGCTCATGGGCCTAGCGGCTCTGCGGCATGTGGGATCTTCCCGGACCGGGGCACGAACCCGTGTCCCCTGCATTGGCAGGCGGACTCTCAACCACTGCGCCACCAGGGAAGCCCAAAAGCCAGACTTTTAAATGAAAAAGCTATGAAAGGAAATGTTATAAATATGGTTTAATTCTACCCTCTAATTTCTCCTTTCGTGGTGCTCGGGGATGGGTATTTAGGAGACGGAGTTGCGCATAATGAAGCTCTTGGTGTTTTCTCCACACTCTGGCTTCGTGCAGGATTGCTAAGAGGGATGCCAAACCTGTGTGTGCAAAGTGGAAGCACACACACAAGTATCACCCTCTCTTTTTCATAAAAACATAGGCAAGATTTGCAAAACCAGAAGCAAGGCCAAAGTGCTGCTTCATCTCTCACCCTCAGGGATTCTACAGAAATTTGTAAGCTTCAATATGTGTTTGAAAGAAAGGATAATGTTTTAATTGGACTGCTGCACTCTAAGACGTACCTTTGAAGGAGCATTTTCCAAAAGAACTAGTCTTGAGAGATATTCTATGAAAAAACGATCTGGAGGCCAAAGCACATGGGCATGTTAAAGGATCTGAGAGGTCTGGCTGGAAAGAAGCTGCTTTAACTGCCCGAATGTATTGAATCATGGAACTTTAGGTTGAGTGAATATTCATTAATGTCTATAAAACACATTTTGGGAAACTGCTATAAAGTTGTGAGAGTGACTGTTTTTCTCCTAAATGTTCCATAACGTAAACCTGAGTGCTGTCCTGCAGAAGAGTTCTCTTGGGAAGCTGTGTGCTAACTTCACTGATGCTGCTTTTACTCGAAATATTTTTAAAACTTCTACTTTTGGAATCCCCTTTAAAGCCTTTTATAAACCATATCATTAATTCAAAAAGAATAATTTTATATATCATTCTATACTAGTATAATTTAATAATGTGAGTATTATCCATTATATATTTATAACATATATTATAATTATATAATTATAATTTAAATCATATATATTATATATTAGAATATTATTATATATAATAATTAAAATAGCCACTATTTGTGGAATGCTTATATGTGCTAGCCACTTATATACAGTACCTCATAAAAATCCTGTGAATCTGATCCTACTACTATCCCCATGTACCTAGGGTCTAAGGCTATGTGGCTGTTAGCATTGTGAGGATTTAAACATGACGATGCCTGACTCCAAAGCCCTTCTCTTAACTACCCAGTTTTAGAGTTATTTGGGTCAAGAGTGGAATTAGCCAACTTGCTCATTTTCCTAAGAGTTTTAGTAAGTGGGCTGTCCTCTTAAAGATGTCTGAAAGGAGCTGTCAACTCTGAGGGCAGTTTCCAAGGAGGAAATGGTTTGAGAAAAGGCAGCATCAATGGAATTGGTATGCGACCATGCAGGGTGACTTCTTTGATAAATGAGATCATTCCTCATTGCATTTTTTTTAAATTTTTTTTTTAATTTTTATTTTTTGGTACGCGGGCCTCTAACTGTTGTGGCCTCTCCCGTTGCGGAGCACAGGCTCCGGACGCGCAGGCTTGGCAGCCGTGGCTCACGGGCACAGCCGCTCCGCGGCATGTGGGATCTTCGCGGACCGGGGCACGAACCTGTGTCCCCTGCATCGGCAGGCGGACTCTCAACCACTGCGCCACCAGGGAAGCCTATTCCTCATTGCATTTTAAGCTCTAGGCTTTGATCACTAAACAAAAATAACAGTAGAGAGTATCATGGTAGTCTGAGGCTTCTGAGCACCCTGTGGCTCTGATTTTTCTGTGTTCTGGACCACAGCCCAAGTATAACCTGTCTCTGTCCCTGTCCCCAGAGGCCTGACACTGTGGACTCAGTGTTGTCTAGCAGAGAATCCTTGGGGAAGCGGCCCAACAGCATGCTTTCATTTCCAAGGTCAGTGCTTTCCTCCACAGGTTCCTCCAGGCACAGCAATCCTTGGGGACCTATTGATGGAACTGGACAGTGTGTCACACTTGAGTTTTCTAGCTCATGCTCTCTCTCTCTCTCTTTATCTCTCTCTGTTGCTCTCTCAGTGCTCCAACAGATAAGAATTTATTGCATACACTTTCTGTAGTTAAGTTAAAAAACAACGGCACTTAGGATACTCTGTTTTTAAACTATTCTTGGTTCCCTGGAAATTTTCATACTACCTCCCACCAACCTTAGTCCTTGCAGTATTAGTAGAATTCTTCTCACCTGCTAGGCTTTGCTCTACCTCTCACCCCTTCTCTGACCTAGTTTCTTCCTTGTCCTGCAGTCTAGACTACCTCCTCTCTGAGCTCTGTTTTTTACCACTGAAGCAGCTAGAAGGACAAGGTACAGCTTCACTCCAAGAGCCTAGTGGGCATTACCAGCGGCTGCTGCTGACAGTTATTACAATAATGATAATGATAACAATAATGACAACAATAACAATAATAGTTATCTATGGAGCACTTACTAGATGCTAGGTATTGTTAAGCACTTTCTCAGTAGTCTTGTATTTAATCTTTACTACAACCATTTGAGACACATATTATAATTTTATTCATTTTATAGAGGAGCAAAATTAATTGTAATTTTAATTCTTTTTTAAATTTTTAATTAAAAAATTTTATTGGAGTATAGTTGATTTACAATGTTCTGTTAGTTTTAGGTGTACAGCATGTAATTTTAATTTTTTTTTTTTTTTTTTTAACAAGTGAAGTGACAGGATGCAGTATTAAATGCACTGGAATAGGAGTCAGGAGACTTGAGTTTTATTTCCAGTTTGTTCATTACTTACCCATTATTAGCTCTTAATCATGTTTTTAATCTTACTTGCTGTGCCATTAACTACTATGCATTTTGGGTAAAGGAAGTTTAGGAAATAGTAACCAGCTTCCCAAAGTATTATTTTCTCTCTCTCTCTCTTTTTTTCTTTCTCATGTTTTTGAGTCTGTGACACCCTCTTGTGTTTGTTGGTTTGGAACAAGTCCCTCCTGGAAAAACTGTATGCCACAGACCTCAGCAAAATCAGTGTAAGGGGGAGAATAAGCCTTCAAGGTTAATGAGTCCAATCCCCTCACCTTACAGATGAAGTGGTTACAAAACTGAGGGGCCAATCCAGAAATAAAACCATGGCTCCTGACTGTTTCAGTGTGGTTTCCATTGTAGCATGTTGCCTTACTCGTTAAATATAAATCAGTGGTTTCCAAATAGTTTTATTTTGATTATATTTTGGAAGGCAAATTTGGCTGTCCTCTTGGACATAGTTTGGCTTAAGCAATCCAGGAGGGAAATAATTGCAGTTAGTTAAGGAACAGAGATGGAAGTTCCTCTCAAATAGAGAGCCTAGAAATGGACATGAGGACTCAAATATTCAAAACAACTGTAGGTGTTTCATTTATTTGAAGTTCGGCCCTTGAATTTACTGCAAGTACCACCTCTGCCCCACCCTCCCTTTCCAACTCTAACCCAGCAATCCGTTCCTGAGACCAAAGAAAATCTACAACTACACACACCAACTAAACGAACCCCTTCCTCCCTTGCCTTTGCAAGTGCCTCACTTTTGCCTGGGGAGAGGATGGAGAAGTGGGGAGGAGTGGTTATTTCTGGGCGTACCCTGCCCGCCAGGCTATGAATCCTTGCCTTCAAGCTATCCAATGACTACCTTTCACTGTTTCAGGCCTATGGCATCTGGTTACAGAACTAGAAAAGACAAATTCAAGCTGATACAAAAACCAAAACTTAATAAATCCAGGCCTTCAAAGCAATCTATCTATATAAAAAGGGGGAGGGTCATGGTTGGCTCCCAAAGAGAATGAGTCCATGATTTGTACTTAGTAAATAAAAGCACTTGCCTCCTTGAGAGACGTAGGCTTATTTCATTCAGAATCAGTGAGCAAGCGTGGCTACTTCTCAGAACTGGGAGTTTACACAGTCACCTGTGGACAAGTATCTTGGTTCATTCCTAGGATTGAGCTCAAGGAGATGGAGAACAAACTGCCTATGGAGACCACTGCAGAAGAAGGTGGACAGAATGGACAAAGGAAGGGCAAGTTAAAAGACCAGTCAGACAAAGAACAAGGCGTCCGAGGTACGTCGATGATTTCTGGGTGTAATCTGTCACTCGTTACTACTGATGAGCCAAGCCATACTGCTTAGAAACTCCTAGGGTCAAAGTAAATAAAGTTAGTTTCATGAATAATCACTGTATTCTTCTCTCTAACAAACATCTTCTATTCCTGGAATCTTGTATCTCACCTTAACCGCTTTTTGACTCTCAGACTCTTAAACTGTGATCTCTTTGCTGGCTCTGCACGGCTCAAAACTCAGCTGCCTACAAGGTCCAGGCAGCTAACATAAATGCATGAACTGGGCTGGATGTCACATGATAGGGAGACATGTTAGCATAAATAATAATTTTTATGACAAATGAAGAGAGGTAGTTTTATATCTTTGATATCTGGCTTTATAGAAGATAGTGGATTCTTATATCTGCATCTTCATATAATCTGGTGTGATTTGTTTTGGTTGAAGCATGTGAAGAAAATCTTAGGACTTCAAAGACGTTTTGAAAGGGTCCTAGGGATCCCCAGGGGTTGCCCAGCTACCCTTTGATAAAGTAGTCTAGCAGATTATTGATTTGTGGAAATGTGGGCCAAGTGGTAGCGAACTTTCTGATTCCTCAAGAGAAGCAGATATCCTGACATATGAAATCTATTGACCGTTAAATTTTGGCAACCAATTTACATTGAAACAAAAGTGCTAACTGGGCCAAACAAAATATATATCAATGGGTAAACATTGGCTTGTGAATGTTGGTTTTGTGACATGTGGCCTACAGGATTACATACAAACTTTTAGCCTAATACTCACATGCTTTCATTCTTTAGCTTCATTTGTCACTGTTCCTTACAGACTCTTTCTTTGAGCAAAATTGTCTATTTATGCTCTTCTAACATGCCTTGCCCTTCCTCACCTTCATGCTTCTGTTCACTCTTTTTCTCCTGCCTGGAATTCCCTTCCTTTTTTTTACAGTCTATCCCAATCCTATTCTCCTCTTTGTAACCTTTTCACATCTCACTTCCTCCATGAAAACTTCTCATCAGTGGATTCTGAAGTGGCTTCTCTCTTCTGAACATTAGAGATTGTACCATTTATTTGAGATTTAGACATTCTGCATCATTGTCCTGAGTTGCTATTTATATAATGTGTGTAAATCACTTAGTACTGTTGGCAGGTGGTAAGACCTCCACAAATGGCAGCTCTCATGTTTTCTGATTATATCTTATTTTTCCTCTTCAACTGTATTTATTGAAAGATCTTTAAGGGCAGAGACTTGCCTCTTTGTATTTTCTAAAGTGCCCAGCCAGAGCTTTGCATGTAATAAGTATACAGCAAAAAATATATATATTTTAACCACACTAGGGCAAGGGACAATATTTTAAAGATAAGAAAGTGTAACTTATGTGAACAATTTCCCTAGTAAAATTATGAGTTTTGAAAAATCTGTGTTAAGTACAAACCGCCTATGTAGAGTTGAAAGGAAACTCACTTTCATTCATTCTACAGAGATCTTATCACCCAAGGTAATTCAAGATAGACAAGCCATCTCCCCCGCCAAAGCAACAAATGTCAGTTTCCCGCACAAACTGGAGCAGAATGGGAGTGGTGGGAAGAATATGAACATTGAAAGGTAATGCATTGGGTATTTTCTTTCTTTCTTTCTTCCTCCCTCTCTCCCTCCCTCCCTCTATCCCTCTCTCCCTCTCTCTCTCTCTCTTTTTCCCTTTCTTTCTTTCTTTTCTTTCTTTCTTTCTTTCTTTCTTTCTTCCTTTCTTTCTTTCTTTCTTTCTTTCTTTCTTTCTTTCTTCCTTTCTTTCTTTCTTTCTTTCTTTCTTTCTTTCTTTCTTTCTTTTCTTTCTTTTCTTCCCTTCCTTTCTTCCTTCCTCTCTCTCTCTCTCTCCTTCTTTCTTTCTTTCTTTCTTTCTTTTTCTTTCTTTCTTCCCTTCTCTTTCTCTCTTTCCTGCACTGGGTCTTCATTGTGGCACGTGGGTTCTTCTTTGTTGCAGTGTGTGGGCTTGTCTAGTGCTAATTGTGGCACATGGGCTCCAGAGTGCTCGGGCTCAGTAGTTGTGGCATGTGGCCTTAGTTGCCCCGTGGCATGTGGGATCTTAGTTCCCCGACCAGGGATCGAACCCACATCCCCTGCACTGGAATGAGGATTCTTAACCACTGGACCACCAGGGAAGTCCCTGGGTATTTTTTGTGTTGCACTTTACTAAGTATATTTTCAAGTCCTGTCTTGATGCAGGGAATTTTAAATAAGTGTTCATTGATTCATTCCTTCATCCACTGTTCTTGATGCTACATTCTAGGTGCTGGGAATAATCAAGACGACCAGGGCTCACAATCTGTGGGAAAGCCAGAGTGATAAATTATGATTCAGTAGGATAAATGCTATGACAGAGGTGGAAACAAAATAGACAGAGGAGGAAACATCTAACTTTCCTTGTGGTTTTGGGAAAACCTGTGTTGTTTTCTGAGTGTGTGGATATTAAGATGTGACACAGGTTCATATTTAGATCAAATTGGAAAGCATTTTTGCCTAACATGGCTGGCACTCAATAAATGTTCTTTGAGCAAATGAATGTATTACAATTTATCATGGTCCTGTTTTCTTCTTATATTAGAAGATTTCTATTATCTCCTCTCCCTTTGTGTAGGATACTTTTTAAGACCTCAGGTCAGAACTTATGGTTCTGATAAGTATCTATTGAGCATCTACTGTATATCTTTCACTGTGCTGTCAACTTTCAATTTATTAATGTCACAATATATCAGCTATCATATGTGTAATTTAGGTGCTTTGTGGATTCCTAAAGTCATGTTCAAAACCCTAGGCATGCTTCTTTTGAGTAATCTCGTTATGAAATATAATTGAGAATTAAATGTCTAGTACTTCGGAATTTAGCTCAATCCAACAAACATTGAGCACCACTGTGTGCCGGGCACTATTTGGACACTGAAGCTATAAAGCTATGAGACATAAAAGACATATAAACTAACTTTCATAAACTTAGTCTTGTAGAGAGATTGAGGCTAAAGAAATAAAGCACGTGATGAAGATAACAAAAGAAAGTACAGAGGCTGCAAAGAGGAGGGAGTAATTAGGGATTCCTAGTAAAGGCTTCCTATAGAAGTTGACCAAACAATGTTTTTTTTCTGGTTTTTGGTTTTTTTCTGATTACTGAAGTAATACATCTTTATCACAGAAATTTTGGAAGAAATGAGAAAAGCAAGAGATACAAAACAATCACCCATAACCCCACTAAATAGAGGAAACTTTCTGTAACGTTATGGGTGTACATCCTTCATTTCAATGCATATATAATATGCACATATATTTATACTTGAAACAAATGGATACATTTTAAACAAAACTGAGATCATATCATATGAACCTTTGCTACACAACAAAAAGTGGTGAAAATTTCCCTATGGCTTTAAATATTCTAAAACATGAACAAATGGTTGCTCATCATCTCATTGATTAAGCCTTTTGTTTAGCCCATCTCCTGTGGGATACTTAGATGGTTTTTAGTTTTTTATATTATGAATAATGTTGTAACAAATATAATCACACATAATTCTCTGCACACACCTGCGTATTCTGTAAGATAAAAACTTTGACGTGAAATTTCAGAGATAAGGGATGAGCCCATTTTTCACGCTTTTGATACACATTACCAGTTATCCTCAGGAAGATTGTACCAAATTATCTCCCCAGTAGCAGTAATGTGAGGGACTGCTGTGTTCTCTACAGCTTTGCTAATACTGGACACTGTACCCTCCACGCACCCAGGGTAAAAGCTAAAGTCATTCCTGTGGCCGTCAAGGTCCTGCCTGATCTCTGACCTCTCTCCTACTTTTCGCCCACTAACTCATCTTCCTCAAGCCATACTGAACACAGGCATGCTCCCACTTCAAGGCCTTAGTGCTCATTTGCTCCGCGAGGTCCTTTTCCATCAGATATCGGATTATTATTATTCCTTTACTGCCTTCAGGTATCTGCTCAGTTTTCACGTTTTTTGGTGAAAACGTCCCTAGCCATTCTATTCATGATTTAATACTCCATTCCTCCAGCATTGCATGGCATTTATCATCACTGAACAGACTATAGAATTCACTCATTTACCTTGTTTATGGGCTGTCTACCCCCATCAGCATGTCGATTCCATGAGGACAGAGCTTTTTTTTATGTGTATTTTGTTCTTTACTACCTCTCCCATGCTTAGAGCAGTACATATAGTAAACACTCAATAAACTTTTGGAGAATGAATAAATTTTATCCCAATTTCACTGAATTGGTAACTGAGACTTTGTAAGATTTACCCAGCTTGTCTAATGCCAGTCAGCTTCTAATAAAGAAAGCTGGGCTTTGAACCCACTCAGGTTTATCTGATATAAAGCCTGGGTTCTTAACCTCTGTACGTGTAGATGCTCTAAAGAAAACCACTGAGATATTTTTCATTTTCTTATATTTATAGTTGTTTCTAAAAGTATCATTAATAATTGATGATAATTGATGTCAGACTATGTTAACATTAATTAATGTTATATTGTTTTTTATAGGTTACGATCTCTGGGTGGTCTGAAAAATGACAATGAAATGAAGCCTAAAATTTCCCCAGCCACTTCTTGCCAGGATCATAATAGGGCAGGACAGGTACAGTGTCTTCAAAGAAACAAAACCCAGTCAGAATCTTCCTCTGACTTCTGTTTCTCGGAGAGAATTCTGGGAATTGCTCTCTCTTTAATATATGGGTGTGGCTCAGGTACTCAGGACCCATACTTGGACTGTGATAAATCTATCTACTAGTCAAAATCTACTAGTTCACAGAAATAGGGCTGGGAAATCTCCACTTTCCAGTTGCTATAAACACATCTGCTCAGGCAAGAGTTTATTCAATCCTCTGGAATATCTGTGGGGTCTTCTCTGAAAATCTCACTTGGCTAATATCTTTAATACTTCCTTTTGGAGAGCTTGGGAAGGGAATGCACAGGCAAAAAGGTAAAAGGTAAAAATCAATTTGCCCTGAAACTTGGTGTTACAGGAAATGTGTTATGTATGCTTGCAACGAGCACAGCGGAATTCCCCGTTGTACTACAGTGAGGAGAGGAAAAGGAGAGAGATGGAAGATGAGCGACTCCTACAGCAGTATCAGATGCTGAAGGATCAAGAGGCTCTCTTCAAAGAGCAGGTAGGTCAACACCTCGGTTAAGGAGTGTTTAACGTGGGACAGGAGAACGTGATTATAAAACACCGTTTAAAAAGTTCCATCGTGTGTCTGTACTGTACCATATTGAACCGTTTACTTACCGCTGAACTAAAGCTTAGGTTGTGTCCAAGTTTTCACTAATAGTAAACAGTCCTGGGATGAATATCCATGCAGCTGATGTTTGTACGTGTCACTGATTCCCGCCGCCCCCCCACCATGAAGACTGAGTTTTATTATTTATTTATTGGCCAGACCGTGCAGCTTGTGGGATCTTCATTCCCAAACTAGGGATTGAACCTGGGCCACTAGCAGTGAGAAGGCCAAGTCCTAACCGCTGGACCACCAGGGAATTCCCAAGACTGAGTTTTAAAGGTGGAATTCCTGGATTATATAGCTTTATTTTTTATTTCTCATAAAATATAATCCCAGTCAGGGCTTTTCCCTTCACATTCATGGCCTATCTCAAGTAAAGACAGAATGGCACCTTTGCATTTGCTTTATCCCAATTTCTGTGATCTCCAATAACTGGCCTTACTGTCTTCTCCTGCATTTGTGATATCAGAGGTAACCACTCATGAAATCTTCCGTTCCTTCTTACGATCCCTGTAGAGGTGGTGCCTGGAGCCCAAGAAACAAGAGCCCACTTAAAAAAAAAAAAAATCTATGAACACATCAGAAAGTATTTACCATTGCCTCCAAAAGGCAGGTTTCTACCTTGGTTGGGTTACCTTAATACAGTAGAATTAAATTTTTAAAAGCTCTATTTCAATATGTGATTTTTTTTTTTTCTCAAAGATGCAAAGTCTGGCTAGTAGAGAACAGAATCAAAAAAATGCTGCCTATAATCTTGGAGTTGCTGAAGCCATAAGAATCCACAAGAATGAGAAACCTGAATTTTATGTAAGAGTCTTTTCGAAATTTCTAGGGCTGATACCTGCCCTACTTGTGAGCATTTGGATCCACTCTCCGTATTGCACCAATTTTTTAAAGTGGTAGAGGTAAAAAGAGGCTTGTGCAAGGCTGAAGCTTCCTTCCAGGGCAGGTATCTGTGGTCCAGGATCTGCCTCCACACCATTCACATTCATAATACAGTTCCTACTAGTCATGAGAGCACTTGTTAATGATAGTAATTTTCAACCAGGACCTGGGAGAGGTGGGGATAGGGACAGTATATTAAATTCCTGCCCCAGGATCAGATGATCTAAGTAGAGAACCAGCATCACCTGGGAGCTTGCTGGAGATGCAGAATCTAGGGTGCCACCTCAGACCTCCAGAATGAGAATCTACGTTTGAACAAGATACTTAGATGATTTGTAGTTTCCTTAAAGTTTGAGAACCCCAGCTTCAGAGGGACGTGAGCCACCTGTTTTGCCATTGACTTAGTGTTTCCAATCATGATATGCCTACCTTTATTTCTGCCTGAATCTTCCTTCTTTCACCTCACTATCTAGGCAGTGTGACACTCTGGACATACACCTAATAAAATAGATTTTCTTTATTCATCATCAAGCATTCATTGAATTCCTTTGTGCTGGCCACTCTGCTAGTGGCTAGGAATACAAAGATGAATAACACAAGGTCCCTCTCTAAAGTCTCAGGATAGTGGGGGAAAGAGATTTAAAGAGACAAGAGTGTGATATACTAAATGCTATGATAAATCTTTGAACAGAGCAAAGAGGAGAGTCACTTAACCCAGACCAGAGATCTGAGAAGACTTCCTGGCATACAGGAGTTAGGTAAAGTGAATGGAGGAAAAAACCTTCCAGGCAGGGGCAGTAGGGAAGGAGGAAGAGGGGGCACCATGCTTTTGAGCTTTAGGTACTCTCTCTCTCTCCTCTTAGATAGATATAAGGTCCACCTTATATATTTATTACTGCCTACTTTGTATCTCCTCTTTGTTATAACGGTAGATACCTTAAAGTGAAAACGACCAGAACAGAAGTTTTGATTCCCCTTCTCAAACTTTTCTTCTCCCAGCCTTCCCATTTTAGCAAGTGGTATCACCAGCCAGACAGTTGCATGAACCCCATACCTAAAAGTGATCCTAGACTACTCCTCCTCAGTCACCCACATCCAACCATCTGCAAGCCCACTTGCCTTCACCTCCAAAAGCTATCCAATATCTCTCTCTGTCTCTTCATCATCAATGTCACCACTCTAATCCAAGTCACATGAGAAGGCCCAACTTTAAAAAAAAAAAAATCATTTATTTATTTTGTTGCATTGGGTCTTAGTTGTGACAGGTGGGCTCCTTAGTGGTGGCATGTGAACTCTTAGTTGCGGCATGCATGTGGGATCTAGTTCCCCAACCAGGGGTCGAACCGAGGCCCCCTGCAATGGGAGCGTGGGGTCTTACCCACTTTGCCAGCAGGGAAGTCCCAGAAGGCCCAACTTTTGCACTACTTTCCTAGTCGGCTCGCTGCTTGCCCTCCTACAATCTGTTCTCCACACAGCAGCCAAGGTGATCTTTTAAAACTGTTCACCAAGGGGCTTCCCTGGTGGCACAGTGGTTGAGAGTCCGCCTGCCGATGCGGGGGACGCGGGTTTGTGCCCCGGTCTGGGAAGATCCCACATGCCGCGGAGCGGCTGGGCCCGTGAGCCATGGCCGCTGAGCCTGCGCGTCGGGAGCCTGTGCTCCGCAACGGGAGAGGCCACAGCAGTGAGAGGCCTGCGTACCGCAAAAAAAAAAAATTATGTAAAACTGTTCACCAAAACAGATCATTCTCTGGTTTAAAGCCTCTAATGGCCTTCCACTGAATTAAAATAAAATCCAAACGCCTTACCTTGACTTATCAAGTCCTCCTGGTTTGGCCTGTCTCCCTCTTTGAGCTCACCTGCTCTACTCTCCCCTTGCTCACTATGCCTCAGCCACAAAGACCTTCTTTCTGTTTGTTTCCATCTAGTGTCTTTGCACTTGCTGATCCTTCTGTATAGGACACCGGTCCCCTGATATTTGCAGTGGAGGTGATTCAGTCACCTCCCTAATAAAAGCCTTCCCTTATAACCAGTTTAGCCCCATTCCCACCCGGACACTCGCTATGAGAAGAGCTTCATAGTACCTGTCACTACCTTAAATTATCTGTGTGTGGTTTGCTTGTTGGCTGTCTGTCTCGTGCACAAGGATGCAGGCTCAATGAGCGTGAGGCTCTCTATGGATCTCTGTTCTTGATCACGGCTGGGTTCCCAGTGTCTAGCGTGGCTAGGCCCAGAGCAGGAGCTCAGTTTTCCCTCTTCCACTTCCTCGCAGTCCCTGCTCATGCTTCTGCACTCACTCAGAATTCCTCCTCCTTTCAGTATGCAAGTTGTAAGTACTAGCGGAGGGCCTACTCTGTGAAGTCCTTTTTCATCTCCCTCTCAGTTATGGGGCTTTGGTCAGCTCTGCTCAGATTCATCCCTGAGCATACTCATATGATTCTGTGGGTCACTAGCTGGTCAATGTGTTGAGGTCTGGGCACACATTATAAATTAATCAAGGCTTTCTGATTGATTTTAGTCTTCTGCAATGATTACCCTTATTCTTTGTTGCTTTTTAGTATTCTAGAATAAATGAGTTGCTTCTCTTGCATTCTAGAAATCCTTCTTGTTTGATAAACGGCCACTCAGTCCTGAGATTAATGCTTTTAAGCAAGAGGAATATTCCCAAAGTCTCCTGAAACAAATGGGTCACAGACGGGAAAAGGACATAAAACAAAGACAAAACAGAGAATTGATGGACCGCCTGGAACAAGTGCAGCTGACAGAGGAGTGAGTCTAGCCAGACATGCTCTGAAAAATGGATTCGGAATGTTCACGTGATGCTTCTTTCCATGTGGGATTGGATCAGCGTTGGTAGTTTCATTAGCACAACTGTAACCAACTAAGCAAACTAACCCAGCTAGCAGCCAGTACCATAGCCTAACGCTTCGTTAGAAACATGGAAAATCATTAGAGTAATGATTGCTGTCTATAATCATTTTAATTACAGAGTATCATTTTGTATTGTTTTGTGATCACTAATCTTGGTAGAGGGAGGAAGGGACTTGTCTTGAGCAGGCTTCATTCCCAGCTATTCCCAGGTAACCTCAAGGCAAAGCTGAGTTGTATTATAAGTATGAAGGGTGTCCTATGGAACCTGAGGGCAGGAGTGTATGGGGGACCCAGGAAGACTGGAACCAGGAACTAAAACCCATGTAAAAAAAGCTTTCCGTCTGCTCACACCCCAGCTCCTTAGCTGACATTGTCTGTATTCCAGCTCACAGTTGGATGAATTTCAGTCTCAATTCCAAATTTTCAGGAAAGAGAATCTGATTGGTCCTGCTTGGGTTACCTGAGGCCTGGGATAGGGTCAGGGCCACAGAGTTCAAATATGCCTAAGTGGGCCATACTTCTGCTACCGAGGTCAGGAGAGCAATTAAGGAGGCTACTATGGTGTGAGAGAAACTCCTAACACAAATAAGTATCTAGTTTCTGTGACCAAAAAACTATTTCCATAAAATGCATATGTTCCATTATATTCACTTTACAGATCATGTGGAGGTTGCATATAATAGATTCATTTCATAATAGGAAAGACCACTCTTCTTAAAAAGGAATCTTATGATGAGTCATTGTATTGCATGCATAGACACTTCCTGCTTTCCTATCTAGATTTTTTTAAGCATGGGGGGAGGAGGGGTGCCTGTCTTAATGGTAGTGCATTTGGACTATATGGTTGGTCACTTGCTTATACCTGCCCATCCATCCCTGTCCAACACATTGTCCACTAGCCTATGAATTTGAATTACTCTTTTCTTTCTTAAAATGAAAGCTCCTAGAAGGAAATATCACTTTTCATCAGGCTCTTATTCCTATTAATATTTATTAAACATGTTTAGTTGATGTTAATCTGTATTACTAAACACTCTATAACAAACTGTGGTCCCACCTTCTCTTATTCATAACTGCCAGACTTGCTGCGCAAAGAGCCAAATACATAAAAGATAAGATGGAAGAAACACAGTGTTACAAGAGAGCTTTGGATGCACAGGTAAGGGGCCAATTATTCCTTTAAACTTTTGCAGGGTTTCAATAGCATTCTAAAAATATGTATAAATCCTGTAACGTTACGAATACTCTTATGTGTTATCCATTTGGTGGTTCTGAGGCCCTTGTTCTTTCCTCTGAGGTGCTGGTTTTTACTATGCTATGGCCTTGTGCATTAAGTCTATTCCCTGGTATAATTATCATGTGCATTATGTGTGTCCCCGCTTCAGATAAAGAACAAACGCCCCCAGCTGCCCATGTTTGAGCCAGACTCTTCTGAGCCCATCTTTGGTAAGGAGGAGGGTGAGCTGATGGTGGAACAGCGAAAGAGAGAGCAGAATTACATGAAGCACCAGATGGAGGCAGCTGCTAACCGCAAGAAGACAGCCATCTTGCACCAGCTGGTGGACCAAAAGTGGGATTTGTTGATGCTTCAGAGGACACACAAAGAGTAAGACACCCTGGATCCTTCCTCCTCCTCCCCTCCCCTCCAGAGAAGCAATCATGATAGTGAACACATTGAGGACTTACTATGTACAAAATATTATTCTAAGCTTATTATGTGCTTTATCTCATTTCATCCCCACAATTCACCCTATGAAGAAAAGTTATTAAATTAGGGCTTCCCTGGTGGCGCAGTGGTTGAGAGTCAGCCTGCCGATGCAGGGGACGTGGGTTCGTGCCCCGGTCTGGGAAGATCCCACATGCCGCGGAGCGGCTGGGCCCGTGAGCCATGGCCCCTGAGCCTGCGCGTCCGGAGCCTGTGTTCCGCAACGGGAGAGGCCACAACAGTGAGAGGCACCCCCCGCAAAGTTATTAAATTAAAAACAAACTCATTTTTAAAAGAATATTATGTATTCATGTGTATATAAACATATTTATACACATATATAATGTAAGATAAACAATAATTAATTCCAAATGCATTGTCTTTTTTCATATTCTTTTCCATTATGGTTTATTATAAGATGTTGAATATAGTTCTCTTGTTGTTTATCGATTTTCTTTATAGCAGTTTGTATCTGCTAATCCCCAACTCCTAACTTATCCCTCCCACACCCCCTTTCCCCTTTGCTAACCATAAGTTACAAACAAACTCTCTCGATCCCACTGCTCCCTCTACTTACCTTTCCATAGTTTTCTTTCCCTTTATAGGACAATGTCTGAAAAGAGTTGTCCACCCCAGCACTGTCACCTGGAAACACAATGTGAGCCACAAATGTGCTGTCCTGCTCAAGTGGACACAAACATGAAACTGAGGCCCTTTCTCAACCTCCACTAAACCCCTTCTTCAGAGAACTGCGCATGTAGTAAGCTGTGCTGATGTTTGCTGGTGCAGGGGTGCTGAAGGTGTCAGGGTAGGCAGAGGAGGACCTTATGCCATAGCAATGCACAATACCTTTAAACTCAAACATCAGACACCCACTGTTTTAAAGTACCCATTGGTTACCCCACAAATGGGGAATTTTTTAAGATCCTGACCAGCCCTCAGCCTTGTAACATCTCCCCGGCTCCTCTTGTCTTCCCATTTCCCACGTTTCCTACTCTCCCGCTTCCACCCTCTGATTGCCACAGAGAACTACAGTTTCTTCTTTGTAGATGTTCAGCAATTTTCAGATACTTGATCAAAGTTCTCAGGAGTTCCAAGAGGGCTTCTCTTCAAAGGAATCTCCTCTTTTAAAAAGGCAGCTGTACTTATAAAAAGAAAAAAAGTTATTATATTAAAATTTTATAACTTTTATAAGTGGTCAGTGGGATGGTGCAAAGATCTGTTATGTTCTATAGCAAGTAGGTTCAGACCGGAATATATGAGTAGAATAATTGGGTGAAGGTGGGAGGATATTGTGATAAGGGTGGGGTTGGTTTGGGGTAGAGAGGTGAGAGTAGTTAAATGCACGGCTTTTGGAGTCAAATCAGATGGGGGACTGAGTCTTGCATCAGCCCAGGGCAATGTATACTTGTGTGTCTGTACTGTTTGCTAAAATACTGAAATATTTCCATACTTCTTGATTAACAGCTGTTGCCCCAAGTCCCACAAGTGCACCCCTGCTTCCCAGGCTGCTCCTGCCCCTCCCTGGGATCCCCCATCCCACCTCTCCATGATCTTTCACTGAATGGATGAATACCTGGGGTCTCCAAGACCACTTCCGGTCTCCATTCTCATAGATTGATATGCGGTTCTGCCATTTTACTAGTTGTGTGGGATTGGGCAGGTTACAGCCCCCTGAGGGCATTGGTTTCCTTATCAGTTATTAGGGAGAATTACTAATATCTACCTCCAAGGTGGCTAAGGGTCAAAGGAAGAAGTTCTTGTAAGGAGCTTGTTTCACAGCAAACAGCTGCCCCTTGCCCCGCAGTGGCTCTGCCTTTCCGTGAATGCTGCCACAGCCAGATCTGGGACCCTTTGCATGTGTTGAGGAGATTATCGCAGTTTCCTCCTCTGCTCCTTAGCTTCTCTGGCTGTTCTCCTGAACATGGAGTTAGGAGGGTTTAAACTCTGTCACTTCCAGACTGTGTGACCTGGACCATATCACACATGGGGTCTTTGAGCTCTCTTTTCCTCATATGAAAAATAAGGATATCACACCCACCCTGCCTATCCTCTCTATGACGATTAAATGAGATTATGTATGTGAGAGCATTTCTGGAAACTTCAGAGCTCTGATCAAATACAAACTATGGTCGTTATCTGGTTATCTCTTTTGTTGGCGTTCTGGTCGTAAACCCCCGTTTTTATATGGATAAGATCCTTGTCTTTTGTTTTTATATCCTTTACTGATTATTCCATATTCTCTTCTCTTTTCTTTTCCAACTTGCCCATCCTCGGTCCATCTCAAGATGTGATCTTAGGTCTTCCTGTGGCAACTAGAAGGTCACTTTCTTTCAGAGGGAATGACTTAGTCTATGGGATCCAAACAGGCCTGCTGAAGTATTTTTACTTGTTTTACTTTTTTTGCTTTAAACTTTTCTGCTTTTGTTTAAAAAAATATAACAGTTCATGCTCATTAAGTCAGTTAGTGGAGAGATTAAAAAAAAAAAGGCTAATAATCTCCCCTACCGAGTAGTCCGTGTTACGTTTAGCCTTCTACATTTTTTCCTGTTCTTTATAAATATATTCAAACAATATACACATATGTATTTTTCCTTCCATTTTTGTAAATGAAAATGAGGCCCGTGAAATCTTACATATTACTCTGCAACCAAACCTTTCTTTAACCTAATAATGTGTCATTAATTTGTATTTAGGTCAGTACCTATATATGAAATTCATTTTTCTTTAATAACAGCATACTATCTATAATATGGATTATATAGTTTAACTTTTGCACCATTGATGAACATTCACTTTCTTTCCAGGTATTTTGCTATTACAACAATTCTGCATTAAGCATTTTTCTTATTTTTCCTTATACTGGTTGTTTTGTTTCTCCTGGATAAATTCCTAAAAGTGGGGTTGCTGGATCAAGTGTATGGCACATTTAAAATACTACCAGATACTGACACTTTGCTTTCTAAAAAGGTATAGCAATTTGCTTCCACCAGTAGTCTTGGGAGAATCCTAGTTGCTTCCTGTCTAATCTTACTTCGTGTTCTTACTTTCTAGGCATTTAAAGTAAACTGACTTTTTAAACCTATCCTTTAAAGAATTGTATAACAATGGCCAAAAAGCATATGAAAGGATGCTCAACATCAGTAATCACTGGGGAAATACAAACCAAAACCACAAGGAGATAGCTGCTCATTAACAAATGGTTTCCATGCTCTGTGAGAGTGTGGGGGTGACCCTTATTCAACTGTCAGCTGTCATCATTTGCGCTGTTGGAACTAGAGGTCATTTAACATTTAACTCTATGTGTGCCTCTCCAAGATAAGAGGTATTCCATGTTTTATTGAATATTTACTTATGTGAACCTGTGACACAGGGATTCTCTACTCCAGTGAATAAAGGTGGCAAGGTAGGAATGTGAGATTTAAAATACGGCTGTGTTTATATTACACAATTTAGTAATTTAATTCCAATAATATAGAATGCTGGAATGCCAACTCTATGGAAGTCCGAATGGAGTAAGCAGTCAGCAAATTGTTCATGTTTTCCCCTGCAAAACACCTATGTAGATGTAAGAAAATGTCTTTCACTATTTAGGATATGTATATCAGTGTGACATACATGGATAAGATGGCTATCTTTTTTTTCTATGTTTTTTTTTTTCTGAAAAGAAAACATTTATACATTTGCAGAATAGTGTAATAAGATTTTGTAAATGCAAAGATAAAATGTGTTATCATTTATCTTGGATTATAATATCTGTGGTTTAATTGCCTTGTGAAATGTCCAAAACAAGAACAATTATATATTTTTCTTACACCGCACACACCATGAAACATTTAATAAGTACTTCTTTTAGACCATTCAAAAGACTAGGAAGGAAGAAAATTGTCTATTCAGTATTAGATAAAACCATTAAGATGTGAATATATATGATATAAAGAGGAAAGATAAAGGAAACTAGAACTGGCAAGGAAAGAGAGAGAGAGAGGGAAAGGGAGAGAGAGAGAGAGAGAGAGAGAGGGAAAGGGAGAGAGAGAGAGAGAGAGAGGGAGACTACCTCACATGTGTTAGGATGGCTATTATTAAAAAAACAACAACAGAAAACAGTAAGCATTGGAAAGGATGTGGAGAAATAGGAACCCTGTATGCTGTTGGTGGGAATGTAAATTGGTATAACCACTATGGAAAACAGTGGTGGTTCCTCAAAAAATTAAAAGTGGAATTACCATGTGATTCAATAATTCCACTTCTGGGTATATATCCAAAAGATTTGAAAGCATGATCTTTCAGAGGTATTTGCACACTTATGTTCATAGCAGCATAATTCATGATAGCTAAGAAATAGCAGTAACTCAAATGTCCAACCACAGATGAAAAGGTAAACAAAATGCAGTATACACATACAATGGAATATTACTCAGCCTTAAAAACAAAGAAAGTTCTGACACATGCTACAATGTGGATGAACCTTGAGGACATTATGTTAAGTGAAATAAGCCTGCCACAAAAAGAAGACAAATACTGTATGACTCTGTTTATATAAGGTAATTAGAGTAGTCTAATTCATGGAAACAAAGTAGAATGGTAGTTGACAGGGGTTGGGGGAGGGAGAAATAGGGAGTCCTTGTTTAATGGGTATAGAGTTTCAGTTTTGCAAGGTGAAAAGAGTTCTAGATATTGATTGCACAACAGTGGAAATATAGTCAACACTATATATCTGCATGTTTAGAAATGGTTAAGATAGTCAATATTATGTTATGCGGGTTTTTTTTCTTTTAATTTAATTAATTTATTTATTTTTGGCTGCGTTGGGTCTTTGTTGCTGCACATGGGCTTTCTCTAGTTGCGGTGAGCGGGAGCTGCTCTTCATTGCAGCGCGTGGGCTTCTCATTGCGGTGGCTTCTCTTGTTGTGGAGCACGGGCTCTAGGTGCCTGGGCTTCAGTAGTTGTGGCATGCGGGCTCAGTAGTTTTGGCTCACAGGCTTTAGAACGTAGGCTCAGTAGTTGTGGCGCATGGGATTGGTTGCTCCGCGGCATGTGGGACCTTCCTGGACCAGGGCTTGAACCTGTGCATTGGCAGGCAATTCTTAACCACTGCACCACCAGGGAAGCCCCTATGCATTTTTTTTTAAAACGACAATTTTAAAAAACAGTGAAAAGATAAAAAAGGTTATGAAAAAATATATATAATAGGTACCATTCCGTCATTGAACTCCCATTGTGTGATAGGCATTGGCGTTTTCTGTATATTATCCTACTTAATCTTTATAATGACCGCACAATAGCTACTGAATCAATGCTTGTTAGAGGATAATGGGGCCATGCTATTTTAGAATAAGTGAACCAGCACAGAGCACATTACAGTATTTTATCGGCGGGTCCTGACACCTAGCGGCGGTTGGTACCTGTAACACAAGACCCTTCAGAGTAGGCAGGCTAAATCAAGGGTCACATTTAGTGAAGTCCCTTCCAGAATTTAATGAGAACTGACTGTAAGAGTTTCAGTTTGGCAAGAAATAGACACATTTATATTGAACCAGGTTTAAGGTGATTCACACAGCAGTGACTACATGTTTAGAGACCAGTAATAGAAACACTTAACATTGGGGATGCTGGAACACTGTGCTTGAAGAGAGATATTATACTGCAGTCATTTCTTTGATGACGTGACCTTCACCAAACACTTTTTTTTTTTAACCCTTCTTCACAACGTTAGATATTTTCTCGATTTCATTTTCTTTTGCTTTGTCATTTCTGTTTCTTTCCCCCTTTCTAACCATTCATTCATACATCTGTCTACTTTGTCTTGTAAAACATCTGGCAGAACTGGTGGGCGGACTACTGACAGCTGAGAGGATGGACTGAAAGGAAGGAAGCAAAGTATAGGAAATCCATTTGAGATGAATCTTCAGATCAGTTAAATTAGCCTCAAAGGAAATTGATGGCTTTAAAGGCTGAATGTGTTAATTGGAAAAAGGTTTTAATCCTGCTAATTTAAACCAGGATTGAAGATGAAAGGTCCTAGACCCACAAATTATTTGCTAGGAGTTTCGCTATGTTTTTACAGTGTTCATGCCCCTTAGTCTCTTTCAAAGAGTGGCGAACAAAACCAGGTTTTCTGTTTAACCTAGCATGAAAGGAATGGGGCTCCTAAGGTTGGTGCACGCCCTTCCCAGTATTATGAATGGAATCTCAGACTCTTCTGTTCTCTCTAGGCACTTGGCAGACAGAAATGCTGAGACTGAGCGAGTGAGCAGAATCTACCAAAACTTACAGGATGACTGGGAAAGGAGTGCTGTCTTGAAGAAGCAGCGGGACCTGGAAGAGAAGGCTTTTGAGCGGTAGTAGCTGATTGCTCCTGAAGTTTCGTTCGCAGAGAAAATCCCCTCTGCATCTTGTTAGTTTCCTCTAATCCTGGGGTGGTGGATAGGTTTTAAGTGTCAGCTTCAGTTTATTAGGGGTGGCTGCCTAGAGACCTTTGTGAGAAAAGAATTCTGGGTTCAGTGGGAAATACTGCTATGGTATGTTAGAAATGTCTGTTGTGGACATGGGATGGAGAATGCTGTGTTGCATGTTATATATTTGCCATCTCTGCCCTAATCTTTGCCTCTGTGTAGTAGCTTCATTTTCGCTTTGTGGAGGCTAGGGAGGCCTGGGGCTGTGTGGGAAGGAGGGTGGGAATTCTCTTTGGAGACAATTAGCTGGAAATAGGAAGAAAGTGTTTCTGTCTGAACACATCTAAGGCTTATGGGATGCTTTCGTAAGAGCAGAGTCAAGGGGTTGTGGGTAAGATTGGCAATTGAAAGAGTGAGATGCCCAACCAAGAGTGTCTTCCTGAAATGTATTATATCCATGCTTACTTTCCCCAGCTATCTATTTACAATCTAGAGTTGGGGAATCCAGATGTTTTGGAGAATTAACACTAACTTTGGAGAGGCAGCTAATCTTTTTGCCTTACTTTTCTTATTTCTAAGATGGGGAAAGTAAGCATTTGCCTGGCTTGGCTACCACAGGGGTTTGGGGGATCAAATAAAGAGTTGGAAAATTATTACACTTTAAAAAATTAAAATACTTTACAAATGGAAGGTATGATTTCATAGAATGTTGAAAACTTGAAGAAACAAAGTCTAGGCAATCAAATGTTATTAAAACCTGAATACACCAAAATAATATTTAATATGCCAATTATCAATGAATTTTTATCATAGAAAAAATTGTTAGAGTGGATCTTGATCTGAAACTCTCCTTTTCCTTTTAGATTTTAAGGCATTTCTCACCTGTCTTTCTAATGGGTAGAACCCATATTTTGTGACAATGAAAGTATGACAGATGATGTGGAAAATAAGTTCCAAAGGAGAAGTGAGGTTGTTTGGCCTAGGGAAGAGGAAGGGAAAGGGGAATTGGGCATTTCAAGCCATTTTCTCCATGTTGTGGGAAAGAAGGTAGAAGGCAATGAGATTAGCGTCAGGGAGGGAGATTTTAGTTGGATTTTGGAAGAAGGCTTGGCTAACATGGTGATAAAGGGTAGAGGAGACGTGACATAACCTTGAGTGGCAGGATAGCCCAGCTGCTCCACGGACACGGCAGAGCAGTCCTCTCACCTGAAGACCTAGGCCAAGTTGTGGGCAGGGACTCAAATGGACAGCACGTAGGAAGGAGGAATTGGTTGGCGTTAAAAAGAAAACAAAGCAGAAGCGAAAACAAGGTTCACCTGTATGCAGTTAGCTCATGATACTCGGTCCCATCGCCAAGGCAAGCCAGGTAGGTCTTCCCCTGCCTACTGCCAAGATTGTCCTTTTTCTTTTTCTTTTGATTGTTTGAATTTTATTTTATTTTTACTTTCTTTATACAGCAGGTTCTTATTATCTATTTTATACATATTACTGTATATATGTCAATCCCAATCTCCCAAGATTGTCCTTTTTCCTTTGAAGCCTGTCATTGATGCTTCTTTTTACAGAATCCCACCGTGTAGAAATTTTGATAATGTAGGGGAACACATCAGGGATTGTGCACATCCTGCACAATCAAGAAAAACTGTTGAAGTGGAAAACCAGTCACTGTCATCCCTTCACCTCTGCTTCTAGCTGCTTTTGTCCTCTTTTTCTACGTCTTCACTTCCTCTCCTGCCCTTAACTCTCCAGAGGCCTCTGCCCCCTGGGACTTTCCATTGAAGTCTACGCTTCATTGTCTGCTGGGGTGTTAACTTAACCAGCAGCTTAATGGCTTGATCTCCCTCTCAAATGCTGTCTCCCGGGAAGCCTGACAGGTAAAGGCGCATCCATGGGACAAAGCCACAAATACTGAGGCTTTGGAGTCACCATCCCATTCACGCTGGCTGAGTGACCTTGGGCAAGTCCTGTGTTCTCTGAGGGTTTACGTGGGTGTGGGGGGAGGGCTGGGGTCAGACTGTTGTGAAGGCACCACGCAGAGCCTTTTATTCACTAGGGAAGGAGGAGCAGCAGGTAGCAGCATAGAGGGGAGAGACTGCAGGTGGGAAATCACAGGTGGGCCGTAAGCTCCTGGAGGGCAGGGAGCAGGTGTGACTTTTCTTTTGTATCCCTTCCATTGCACCGGCTTCCAGGCGAGGCACCCAGTAAGGACTCGGGGATGCCGGCGAATGACCCCTTCTTCTGCCTCTCCACAGGGCCGCCAGCAAGCTCTTCCTCCTGGACCAGTGTGAGAAGTATCGGCGGTGCAAGCAGTGCCAGAGGCGACCCTCCAACGTGGGCAAGAGCAACCTGTGGCCCCTGAACAAGTACATGCACGGCTCCCTGCTGTTTGTATAAAACCCAACGTCTGGGCCTGCTTTTCCTAGGGAAGGTTTTTCTTTTTTAAACGTGCAGAGGTGATGGTGAAACTACATATTTGTACTTTAGAGGAGAAAAAATTATTGTGCCATTTTGGTGCTTTCAGGGGTAGAGGAAATTCCCACAGACAGGTTCTCCCCACCTGTCCTCCTCCCATCCTGCCCCAGACAACCCTGCCGCAGTCGGGCCTGGGAGGTGCACCCAGCTTCATTCTGGCTGAGGGGGTGTTTCTGACCCAGCCCTGCCACTCCCTCTGTGACTTTGTCTAAGAAACTTCATCTTTTCCTCACCTATAATGAAGTGTCGTAATAAATACTTTCTCCGTGTTTGGGCATAACGATTCATAGCGGTGAATTTTTTTTTTTTTTTTGCGGTACGCGGGCCTCTCACTGTTGCGGCCCCTCCCGTTGCGGGGCACAGGCTCCGGACGCGCAGGCCCAGCGGCCATGGCTCACGGGCCCAGCCGCTCTGCGGCATGTGGGATCTTCCCGGACCGGGGCACGAACCCGTGTCCCCTGCATCGGCAGGCGGACTTTCAACCACCGCGCCACCACGGAAGACCCATAGTGGTGAATTTTACCACCCCTCCCCCAGCCCTCGATTTTTCCAGGCCTGGGGATGTGTGACCCTCCCAAAGGTAGGTTAGGCCATTTGCTTCCAGTGGCCAGTGCAATGCTTGTTGAATTTTCTAGCTGATAACACACCCGGGGACTTGTTGGGACCTCAGGGCATATTTTTCCCTTGGTGATCTTCCGGCCAACCATTCCACCATCCAGGCATTTCTGCACCACGATCGATTGTAGGTTTGTTGTGTCCTGTGAGGGGAGCCTGGCTGCCTTGCCGGGGTCCATCTTCTCTCATTGCTTCCCTTGCATCTATTCTTAAGCTGTATGTGCGGTGGAAGAGGAATAGCTTCCTGTTGAGGGACTGGTTTTCAGTTCTGGTATATGTGTTCTCAACCACAACTTGCTTCATTTGCCTTCACCCTTTGTCTTTCCTCTCCCTGCCCTGTCCTACCACCTCAGGTGCAACAATTAACAAAGCAGAGTGATGTCTAGATTTCTGAGATATGAAAGCTGGCCAGAAAGTCCCTTAGACGCTTTGCTTTCTACCTGCCACATCGAGACATTATTTTGCCCTACTCCAGATACAAAATAGGAGTGTTTTGAGCCCTGAATGGTTAAGGGGAAAGTAGTCTACTCAAGTTGATATTGGGCAAATTTTGTTGCTAATGTTATCTTTTTCTATGGAAACAAGTATGCTCCCTGGTGACTGGAATTGTCTGAAACCTGCCCCCACCACTCCCCACATTACTACTTTCTTCCATTTCCTCAGAAGATCCCTCCATGCAGGTCCCATCCCCGCCAAGCCATATTTAAAACAATAGCCTTTCCCCAGGACTGCTTGACTTGCTTGAAATGCATCCCTGCTACATCCTTGGAGTATTTCTCAGTCTCTAATATATAATAAATCACTACAATAGTATTGTATGAATATTTTTTAAAAATATAGACTGCTTTGTCAAAGAAAAAAAAGACTTTAGGCAATTTTGATATGTTTAGGTGGTGAAAAGATCTAACTTCATAGACGTTTTTACTGTAGGAACTGACCTTATAATTTATTACCATAGGTAGCAGTACTGACTCTTACTGTGTGCCAGGCACCAAGCTAGTGACCTGGAGATGAAGACCTCATCAGTCCCTGCCTGCCTTCAGAGCATTCACCATGTAGTGCAGAGGGGAGATGTTACTAGAAAATCTCCCTGTAACAAGGTAGATACCTGATAGCGCTTTGCATTTCTTGCTATGGAAGAGTAAGGTGGAGTCCTTGCAGTCAGGTTAGCCTGACAGGGAAAGCTTTTGGAAAAGATGAGGCCTAAGCTGAGTTTTTAAGGAGAAACAGGAAATAGCTAGGTGAAGAGTGACAAGGGGTCATGGCAATAGATGTCAAGGCCCTGTGCTTGGGCGTCCCCAGCAGTCCAGTGGTTAAGATGCCGTGCTTCCACTGCAGAGGGCCTGGGTTCGATTCCTGGTTGGGGAACTAAGATTTCCGCATGCCGTGCAGCCAGAAGAAAAAAAAAGCCCTGTGCTCCTGTCTATTGACGCTAAGATGGAGACATGGTTATGTGAGTTAGGTTATAAAACCTAATTTTAAAAAATCATTCAACCATTTTAAGAATCAAATTTTATTACAGTCTTTCAATAAAACAGTTGATTTCATACAATAAAGAATGCACAGTCTTTTTTTTTTTTTTGAGCAAGTCTTCCTAATTTGATATCTTTTTCACTGATCTTAACTGCTAATATTGTTTTAGCTCAAACTTGTTATGAGGCCAGACTCAAATTAGAATGTCTTTTTCTAAATCAATTTGAATTACTATCATCAAGCTCTGTCGTTTCTGGAACTACGGCACTGCCAGACCAGCTTAATGTATCAAGGGATGCCCAATTTCAGTGGATTTTAATGTTTTGGACGGTCACAGACTCTTTTGAGAATCTGATGGAAAATCTGGACTCTTTCCTAAAAATATGCACATTTTCATATACAATATTTTGCATATAATTAGAGTTTTCCTAGATCACCTGGACCACAGGTTAAGAACTCCTGCTCTGGATGGCTTTCCTTCAATGTTATAACAAGCTCAAGTTATCAAAAGTGAGCAAAGTGTAGGACTTTGCTTTTGAAAATGCCCTTTCAGTTCTAGAGAACTATGTCCACTTTTGCCATCCTTTTTGACTCTTCATAAAAATAGTGAGATGAGAATTGGAATGGCTGTTAGAAAGCACATACTCCAGTAGTTTTCAAAACTTTTTGAGTAAGACTCAATAAAGGAAATACATTTCATACTGAAACACAGAACCTGTGCTCACACGTGTAATTGAGACAAAAGTTTTACAAGGTTATATTTACCCATCTGCAATGCATTTTGATAATTTCTATTTTATTTCATTAAAAATTTTCTGATTAGACTGAACAGAATTGATTTAACAATCTACTAGTGTAAACAGATAATTTTCAGTTTGATAAACACAGTTTTAACCTAATTTTTCCCTCTCACAGTACTCCATAGTTTGCTGGAATTCATTAGTGGTTAAGATAATATTATAATGGTATTCGACCAGGGGACTGAGGAATGTTTAGGTCCGATCTTGTCATAACTAGACTGTCTTGTTCTGAGGTACCCCAAGAAACTAAGGTAACTATTTGCCCCACCTTGTGAAAATCCGCTGGAGAATGTTGATCTTTATTTATTTATTTATTAAGTATTTATTTAGAGCAAAGCAAAATCTTGACGTTCGGGATGCAAGTGCTATCTCACCTTCTGTGGGTAGTCGTTGTGATGTTAGTTCGATTCTCAAAGTCTGTGTTTCTTTGGATCTGTTTTTTACGTGTGCCGCTTGGGAGTAAACCTGAGACTTGTACTGATTCGTACACAGAATTAGGGGATCTCTTTCTCCAGCTTTCTCCTCTCTGGAATTCCTTTCACATTCTCCAGTCTCTTATTCCCAGTCGTCTGGCTTTAAAGCCAGAGTTTCTCTTGGAGTTTTAGCTCCCTTCGCTCTCTCAAAGGAGAGCTAGTGGATGACAAGACAGAAACAAATAACAGAGATTCCTCCCACACTCTTCTGACCACGGGGTCCCTTTCCCTGCTTCCTCTGGCCAGGAAGACAGGACCTCTCAGGGTCTTTGGTCCTCGAATGCCACCACCACTGCTATTCCTGTTGCCACTGTGCAGCTTTGTGACTGCAGTTGGTCTTGGGGCATACCAGCGAGGGGGGAAAAAAGGGAAAAAAGGGCTTTCCCTCTATACTCTAGCTCATATGGAACCCTTTTCCTGCTTCTCTGGCTAGAAAGAGGGGGTTTCTCTTGAGTTTAGGCTTTCTGTGTCGTTCTGGATCTTAGATTGCTCTCAGGTCAAACCAGAAGAGGAATAAATTCCCCAGTAAATTCGTCACTACGCCAGTCATCCTTCGGGTTTTGATTTACTTACACAATCCCCCTGCTATAGTGTTTCCTCTTCAGAGTCCTCAGGTAGTTGCTTTTTATAATCTGTTCAGTTACATCAGTTGAAGAGAAATGCTGTAGTGCCCATACTCCATCTTGGCCAGCACCAGAAGCATTTTATTTTGGTTTTGAGTCGTTATTTTTCTTCCTTTCCCCTTTCCCCCAAATCAGGTGGTACCTCAGTCCTTTCATTTATATTTTATTAGTTAGGGTAGCACTATAACAGAGATCAAATACTAGTAGCTTAATCAAGACAGAAGTGCATTTTTCTCTCAAGAAACAGTCTAGAAGTACATAGACCCAGACAGTAGGGTGGCTGTACTAGCTTCTCCTGTGGTTTCCATCACTGGGTCAAGACAACTGCTCCAGGTATCATCTCCTAACTAGCAAGTAGGAAGAAAAGGGCAGGAGAGCAAGTGTGCTTTTTTTTTTTTTTTTTTTTTTAAGTGGTATAACCTGGAAGTGGTGCCATTATTTCTGTCCACATCCCATTGGCCAAAATTTAATTACACGGCCACACCATGCTGCAGGGGAGCTTGGGGAATGAAGTCTCTAGCTTGGTGGCCGTGTGTGTAGTGAAATAGGGAATTCTGATACTAAATATGAGGGAAATGGCTAGTAGTGGACAACTGCCAGCCTGCCATATCCTGAAATTTTGGGGGGAAGAATCTACAAAATACCTAACAATGCTAGCTAAGCTTTTTTTTTAATCTTAAAAGAATGTAAAGCTGCAAAACAAGTCTCTAGAGGCAAACACAAAGTGGGAATTCAGAGAAGCAAGCATCAACCAATTACCTATGATCTAAGCCATTTAAATTAATGCTAGAGATAAATTTTTATTTTTGAAATAATTTCAAACTTACAGGGAAGATAAAAGAATGGTAAAAATATCACCCCCCCATCCCCAGAGCTAAGTAAGAGCAAGTTGCTGACATTTGCCCTATCCCTTCTGAATACTTTAGAGCATAATGCCTTACAAATAAGTATATTCTCCCATAAAACAACAATATAACCACCCAAATCAGAAAATTAACACTCATTTACCATACAATCCAAAAACTCAATTAAAATTTTGCCAGTTGTCCCAGTAGTGTCCTTTTAAGCAAAAAGATCCAATCAATGGTGTAACATTTAGCTGATATGTTTTTTTTTTTTTTTCAGGAATATCACAGATGTGATGCTAGGTTCCTTGCACTCCATTATATCAGGTGGTACCCAGTTCAGTCTGTCCCATTACTGGTCACGTTAACTTTGATCATTTGATTAAGTGATGCTTGCCAGGTTTACCACTATCAAGTTGTTTTTTCTTTTGTAACGAATTGGCATTTCATGGTAGGTATTTTGAAAGTAATATCCCATTCCTCATTGAGTATCATCCACTAGTTTTAGCATCTATTGATGTTTCTTTGCTAAATGCCTAATTATGATGATTGCTAAATACAGACTTTTCTAATTCCACCATTGCTGCTACTTTATTAGCTGGCATTCTACTATAAGGCAAAGTGTTTGCTTCTCCCTATTTATTTATTTATAGCAGTATAGACCTAAGGATTTTTATTTTATTCAATGACTAATAATCCAGTCCTATCATTGATATAAAAATCGTGATCAGTGGGAGCTCTTTAAGCTGGCTTCTATGTTTTTTGTTTTGTTTTAAATAATTAAAAAAAAAACTTAGAATGGTTTTAGAGAGTTCCTTGTACACTCCTCACCCACTTTCCCCCATTGTTAACATCTGTTTCTATGATACATCTTTCATAACTAAGGAATCAACATTGGTACTTTACCACTAATTAAACTTCACACTTTATTCAGATTTCACTTGTTTTACCCCAATGTCCTTTTGCTGTTCCAAGATCCCATCTAGGATACCATATTTCATTTACTTGTCAGGTTTCTTTAGCCTCCTTTGGTCTGTGCTCTTTTTGGTCTATGTCCTTTTGTCATATTCCTATCGTTTATTGAACACTTCCATAACTTTGTCATATTAAGATGTTCCAGGCTACTCATTTTTTTCTGCCCCACCTCTGGAATCAGCCATTTCCCCAAGGAGACTTTTTTTTTTAACATTTTTATTGGAGTATAATTGCTTTACAATGGTGTATTAGTTTCTGCTTTATAACAAGGTGAATCAGTTATACATATACATATATCCCCATATCTCTTCCCTCTTGCGCCCAAGGAGTCTTTTTAAATGGAGAATGGTATTAACAAACCATGATCTGAGTGCCATTGTTCTCATCATTGCTATTGGGTTGTCATTGCTTCAGGCCCTCTCTGCTCTCTGTAGATAAAGCTGAGGAATTCAAACACACACACACACACACACACACACACACACACACTCATACTCATCTATATTTCTATATCTATATATTGAAATGATGACTTCACAGAGATACAACCAATTCCAACCCCAAATCCTACAACTAATTGTACTTTTTTTCCCTTTCCATATTTATAACTCCCGTCCAACAGTGAGATGCCTGATTCCCATTATTCTCAATGTAGTACTGGATAAACTCTTATGTAATCTTACTGGATACACCCTTATGTAATCTCTGATCGCCACTGCTGTCCCCCTATGTACATGTCCTCTGCACCCTGCCGGGGACCTGACAGCTGGTACTAGGCTGCAACTACCCCTCCCACACCTTGCTTGAATGTCCTCCTTACCATCTCCCCTGACTCAAGTATCTTCTGTGTCTGCACCTACTGCACAGATAGCTACCTTGCTCCCCTCCATGTAGTGGACTGAGTTATTAAAGAAGAAATGAAGGATGGAAAAAAGAAGAGCAAAGAAGGAAGGAAGAGGAAAGAAGGAAGAAATAGGGCTTTATGGGCCCTATTATGGGGCCCATAATAGGCCAAGTATGGGCCAGGAAACAAAGCCTAGACATTTTAGAAAATGTTATGGGCCAAGTATAGGCCAGGAAACAAAGCCTAGACATTTTAGAAAATTCTAAAGTTGTTAGAAAGGAAACCTGAAGACAAGGAATATCTTCAAGTATCTTCAATGTAGAATTGTGTACTCAGTGGAACTATTAGAAATGAAGGCAAAATAAAAGAATTTTAGAAAAAAAGTTTATTAAAAAAAAACAAAAACAAGTCTACCAACAATAAAATGTATTTTTCAACAGTGAGAAAATGCATATTTTCAAGATTACATAAAACATCAAAGTTGATCATATAATAGGAACTAAAGGAACCTCCAAAAGATGCTCTTAGGTAAGGGAGAATAATCTTAGAAGAAAGAGTTGAGATGCAAGAAGAAATAGTGAGCAAAGAAACTGCTGACATATTGGGCAAATTTAAACAAACACTGATTTTTATAAACAATGTAATTTGTGGGGTTAAAAAAAATACTTGACAACATTAATAGTTAAAGCATGTTGAGTTCCTTCAAGAGGTGGCAACAAATTTTAAAAAATATTTGGCTGCGTCGGGTCTTAGTTGCAGCACGCGGGATCTTCGTTGTGGCATGTGGGCTCTTCATTGTGGCACGTAGGCTTCTCTCTAGTTGTGGCGAGCTGCCCTAGAGCACGCGGGCTCTCTAGTTCTGGTGTGTGGGCTCAGTAGTTGTGGCTGGTGGGACTCTCTAGTTGTGGCGCATGGGCTCCAGAGCGCAAGGGCTCAGTAGTTGTGGCACGTGGGACTCTCTAGTTCTGCTGCATGGGCTCCACAGCACGTGGGCTCAGTAGTTGCGGTGTGTGGGCTCTAGAGTGCGCAGGCTTAGTTGCCCCACGGCACGTGGGATCTTAGTTCCCCAACCAGGGATTGAACCCATGTCCTCTGCACTGGGAGGCGGATTCTTAACCACTGGACCACCAGGGAGGTCCCGGGAAAAGATTTTGAATGTTTGAATTTTTCTAAGCCATTTAAATACTGAAAGTATAGGAATAAGGTATATAATAAGACATACATATTAGAGAGAGACTCTAGGTCCAGAATTCCAGAATTCCAAATCTCAGCCCTGCCAATTACTAACCGTGTGACCTTGGGCAAATAACTTTTCTGTGCCCAGGGTTTAAAAGTTGTTTTCATCATAACAATGGAAATAATAGTATCTAATTCAGAGGGTGGTTGTATCAAATGAAATTATGTAAACCTATTTAGATTTAGAACAGTGTCTAAACTATAATAACTGCTAAGAAGTTTTAACCACAATTACAAATTTCCAAAACAGTGGAAGGAAAATATGGATTTAGGGGAGGAAAAATCTTAATCCAAAAGAAATCAAAAGATAAAAAAAGAAATATAGACATGGGTCAGTTAACACAAAATATGAGAAAAACAGATGCAGAGATAGCAATAACATTGTAATATAAAAGAATAAGACAATATAATGTAATAAAATGATGTAAATGGACGAAGTTCTTCAGTAAACACAAAGTTGGTCAGACCGAATTGAAAAAAAGCCTAGCAATATGACATGTCTAAAACATGAAGCCGGTGGAGGAAGACATAGCAGAGTCAATGGGCGGGATTCTTCCACTACCTTCCCTTTCCCGCCCGTTTTGGCCCCCCTCCGTCTCTCTTCAGCCTCTTCCAGGCTTTGTCCCCCACCATTCCCATCCTCAAGTCCGTCCTCAGCCTCTTTCCTCCCCAGCAGGTGTCGGGGAGGCGAGAAGGCTCAAGCTGCAGCCCTTCTCCTTACGCCAACAAGCTCACTCCCCGCGGCGGCCGTGGTGACGTCTGCGGGGGGCGGGCCCCACGCCCTCGCTGTCAGGTTTTTGGCACGCCCCGCCGCGATTGGTGAAGAGGAACGCACGTCACGCCGGCTATAAAAGGCAGGGCTTGAGACGCAAGAGAGCTTCGGCGCGCGCGGATTGGGTCTCCCGAGGCCTGCGCTGGGTAGAGCTCGGAGCCCCGCCGCAGCCGCAGCTCTGCGACGATCACTACAGCTCCCTCAGCAGCCGACGCTACCGCCGCCTGTACCACGGAACCGGCTGTATGATTAGGCCACAGTCTTTAATGAGTAAACTAAGTCCTTCCTGTGGTGTTCTTGGTCACGCATTTATGGAGTTTCTGAAGGGCCCCGGAGAGTACCGTCAGGCACAGCACGACCTTTATGAGGACAAGTGAACTGTAGAAATTCGTTGCTACTCCACCAAGAAGCCCCCATAGGCGCGGTCATCCTGGACACAGAAGTGTGGGATTGAAGTCATCAGAGCATTTTACAGGAATTACGACCTGGATGGGGTAAACCTCGGTGCTCTTCCTTTCCATTGACTCAGTATTATGAACTGAAGGATGGCATCTTGTTAGGAGGTTCATTTCATTTCCTGTTACTCCCAATTGCATATCCAGAGCATTGAGAATTTCGAGTGGGGCATATTGGAGTAGACTTCTGTTTCTTTACGTCATTTCTGCATTCAAAAATTTAATTTTTTTTCGTAACCGTATCTTTTTTTTTTGTGTGTGTGTGTTTTAAACTAAAATAACATGGCTCCACTGAACCACCCAGCCCCTGTGGAGGTCACATTACAGGAACATGAGGTTTCTTATTACACAAAATCCAACCAGTGCAACCTTAAACAAATTTATAGAGGACCTTAAGAAATACGGAGTTACCACAACAGTAAGAGTATGTGAAGCAACTTATGACACTGCTCTTGTGGAGAAAGAAGGTATCCAGGTTCTGGATTGGCCCTTTGATGATGGTTCATCACCCTTTAACCAGACTGTTGATGACTGGTTAAGTCTTTTAAACATTAAATTTCGTGAAGAACCTGGTTGTTGCATTGCTGTTCACTGTGTTGCAGGTCTTGGGAGAACTCCAGTTCTTGTTGCCCTGGCACTCACTGAAAGTGGAATGAAAAATAAAGATGCAGTACAGTTTATAAGACAAAAGCGGCGTGGAGCTTTTAACAGCAAGCAACTTTTGTATTTGGAGAAATACCGTTCTAAAATGTGGCTGCGCTTCAAAGACTCTAGTGGTCATAGAAACAACTGTTGCATTCAATAAAACTTGGCTGCCTGCCTCATGCTGTTGCCTTGGAAGTCAAACTTGAGACAGGACTTAATTTATCGTACGTATTAGCCAACATAATAGGCTTAATGAATGACAAGTCTAATGAAGCTTCCATAGGAATACTGAAAATCCACAAGCTTGACAGAATTGCAGCCTCTCTGTTTGGCTTACTACTATCCCCATGCCAGAAACAATATATAAGAAGTTGAGAGATTAGGTGCCAAAATACTCAGCACAATACTTGTATATTTTTAGTATCATACAGAATTAAAATCCTAGGAATTAGGAACAGCACTGTAAACCATATGTGGTTTATTCCTCCAGTCATCTCAAACATTGCAAGTAAGACCTATATGGTTATTTGTCTGCTCCTTTATGTTTACCACCCCACACGTGTACCAGTATGCATCAGGTTTGTACAACAAATGATTTTGTTGAATTCTTACCAAGACTTACGGTGATTATTTAATGTCTTTCTATAAATCTCATTTTGTGCTGTTACGAAAACCTCCAGTTTGAAAAAAATCACCCATCTCTGGTTGAAAGTTCATGTAAAATATACACCATAGAGAAGCATATGTGTGTAATATCTTCAGACAAAAAAGCCTTACAGTTACTTTGTTTACACTTGGGATGCAGTTTTAGAGGGGAGGGCCTGAAGACAGAATGGAAAGAGGCTATGGAATATTTTTAGGATTCCATACTAGAAATTCCATGTTCTCTTTGTCTTGTGCAGGATGTACAGAATAGGTCCTTTTATTTAGTAAACTTTAAAGGTAAAGATACTTTGTAGCAAAAACATTTCAAAAATTTCTGAAGTTCTTATAATTTGCCATACCTATTGGAAGTTACTATTATTTTTGTTTTAAGTGTGGTATTTTTTTCTTTGTCTTTCCAACCGAAACAGAAGAGGATTTCTATTAATGAACTGATCAGACATCTAATAGTTTATATAATTTTGAACTGTGTAACAATATTTGGATATTTGATACTTTGTTTTATTATGTAATTGATAAAATGGTGGTATGTATTTGTGTTAGTTCGACCATATATTCATAGTGTCTGGAAGTGTAGTTCTCTGGGAGAAATAATTTGTCAGTATTCACCATTCTCCAACTACTACAAGAACTTAAACATCTAAATAAGGAATTATAGGAGACAGAGACAAACTAAGCAAGATGGTATAGCCTTGTTAATATTAGTAAAAGTAGAAGCAAAGGCGTTACTAGAGATAAAGAAAATCATTAAAGTTTCAATTCACCAGGAAGTTATAACAATTCGAAATTTTATATATCAAATAACATTGGTTCAAAATCCATAAAGCAAATATGGAGAGAACTACAAGGAAAATTGACAAGTTTACCATAGTGATAAGTTTTACTATTTTTCTTCCAGAAACAGATCAAGTAGACGAAAATCAGTAAGGCTATAGATTTGAACAGAACAATTAACAAGTCTGATCCCATGAACGTAAGAGGGCATTGCATCCAACAGTGAGAATCCATATTTTTTTAAGAGTACATGAAATATTTTATTAAATTTGACTATATATTAGATCATAAATAATTTCATCAAAATTCTAAAATATTTGAATAACACAAGTAAGTTTTCTGACTATTCAATTAAGTAAGGGAAAAAAAGTTAGTAGTATCATTTGGAATTTTGAAAATCTGTGTCTAGAGACTTCCACTTCTAGATAGGATATAGTAGGTCATGGCAGCCCAACACCCTCCCTGCAACATCCAGAAAAATATGGATAAATTACAAAACTCATATGTTTAAAGACATATGGGAGCTGTGAAAGAAGCAAAGACTGGATGAATAGGAATTCCAGAGAGGAAGGAGCTCTCCTGAGGTGAGTGGCCATTTTGTTTGCTGGGGGTATTTACCAATTCTGGACATAGACTAAGGATCTGTCTTTGTTCTTGCAGAGGGTCTCTACTGAGGGAAAGCGAAACCCAGCAAAGCTTTAGATGGTCATGTGAGGCTGGTGCAACAGACTGGAAAATTGAGAAGCTTGGCTAGTTTCATGTTGCAAGTTGAGTTCGAAAGAGAAGCAAAGCTTTAGATGGTCATGTGAGGCTGGTGCAACAGACTGGAAAATTGAGAAGCTTGGCTAGTTTCATGTTGCAAGTTGAGTTCCTCAGGAAACAGGTACTGAATCTGAGATTTGCCTTTGGAAGCTTACTGGGGAGTCATCTCAACAACACTTGAGAGGGAGCAAGAGAACCAGGATGCTGCAGAAGTTGAATGGTGATACATACAGTTTCAACAGTGACCTTAGCCAATCTCCCGGAGCTCTGAAGCTGGGATGGCCATTTAGAGATGTCTGCAATTGTGGCAAGGGGGTTGGACCTTTGGACTCAAATCAACCAGTCATTGGATGCAGGCTGTCCCTGGGGATGAGGGCATAACCTTGGATGAAGCATCTTCCTTCAGTCAACTGCAACTCCCAGCGGGGGATGCAACTGTGAGCCTTCAGCTGATAATACTCCTGGCAGCTGGCCCTGAGTAAGTGTTTCAGACCTTTAGAGGGATCTGGGTGGTACAACCACAGCATCCACTATACTAAACGACACTTGCTGAGTTCTGGGACTATGTATGAGAGGCTGGGGAGTTAGAATGAAGACTTTTAAAAGACAGAGGGAAATTTCCCTTAACCTCATAGTGCTTAGGAGACAAAGCCCTGCTAGAAGAGGTTTTAATTCTCTCCAACACTTACTGTCTGTCTTTTTTATTACAGCGATTCTGGTGAGTGGGAAGTGTTATCCCATTGTAGTTTTAATTTTAATACAACTAATGTTGTTAAACATCTTTTGGTGTACATTCTCTCACATGTCTCTGTTAGTACTATGTCGATTCAAATATTTTGCCCATTTTTTCAGTTGGGTTTTTTTGTCATCCTACTGAGTTGTAAAAGTTCTTTACATATTCTGGATCCAATGCCTTTATCAGATATATAATTTGCAAATACTTTCTCCCAGTCTGTTACTTGTCATTTTTTTCCTTATTGGTGTGTTTCAAAGTGCAAAAGTGAAAAAATTTGGTGAAGTACAATTTATCAATTTTCTCTTTTATGAATCACGCTTTTAAATTGTATCTAAGAACTCTCCTCAATCAGTCACAAAGATTTTTCTGCTATATTTTCTTCTAGAAATTGTATAGTTTTAGCTCTTACATTTAGATCTGTGGTCCATTTTGAGTTAATTTTTGTATATGGTGTGAGGTAAATCTCTCTCTCTCTCTCTCTCTCTCTCTATATATATAT